TAAAACAACAAAATTTATGTAAAAACAAATCATGTTTCATGTTACAATTTAAAATCATTCTAGAAAGAAAAAAAAGATTTAGATTATTTTGAATTTTTTTGGATGGTTACAAGGTCGGACAAAGTGACCAACCTCATATAAAGTTAAGGTAGAGAAAATAACAGATAAAATATAGTTTTCCTGAAAAAAAAAACATTTGATATTTACTTAGAACATTTTAGGGATTATGCAAATGGAATTTCAAAATTTTCAAATGAAGAAAAGTATTCTTAATATTAATATGAAATTCACTTCACGCTCGAAACAGTCAACGCTAACACCATATAATTAAACAAAGCTTTTGTAAAAATATTTAATTAAAAATTCAGATTTTTTGTTTATAAAAGACTTTTAAGGTTTACCGAGAGCTTGTCAAATTTCATGTAGATACAATATAATGGTTGGGGACAGCTTGAATGGGTAATGAAGAAAAACTTTAATATAAGTTTAACATAACAGCAAATGTACAACGTTTCGACAATGTTTTGTCATCAATAGGTACTTATCTAAACGTTGTACATTTGCTGTTATGTTAAACTTATATTAAATTTTTTCTTCATTACCCATTCAAGCCGTCTCAAACCATTATTAGTCTCAATATGTTCTTTCAGAGTTATAGTATGCATACCTCCAAGGTTCTGTAAAATACAGGTACACATCCTGATAGGGTTATGTTTGTGTATCTTCACAGAACTTCAGTAAACATCACAAATCTTTTGCACACAAAAAATCAGAATTATTAATGAAGTATTTTTATTAAAAGTTTCTCCGTATTTATATGGAATCAAAGTGTTGACTGCTCTGAGTGCAAAGTGATTTTCATGTTAAGATTAAAAATCCTTTTCTTCATCTGAAAATTGTCAAATTTCATATGCACATCATTAAAACCTTTTAAATAAAGTTCAAACGTTTTTTCAGTGAAACTTTATATTCTATTTGTTATTTTCTTTACACTAATTCTATATGCATCTTGTCAATTTGACCAACCTTTGACCACCATAAAAAATACTAAATTCTAATTAACCCTTTTTTCTTTTTAGAATGACTGAAAATTGTAACAGGAAGGTACAGTTGTTTATCCTAAATAGCTTACAGATTGTAATAGTATACATCTATTTCTACTTAAATTTCATTGTTTTATTGCCCTTTGAACAGTGTCTAACAAATACTCCCACCACACAAGTAGTGAGTGGTAAGTCACTTGGCAAACATGTAGTTCACATTACTTTATCAAAAGTAATGTACAAGTTACTTGTGAGCATACACCTTCTTTATCTTATCTAATCTAACCTAACAAGTTCTTAATTTTTAAATGTTAGTTACTTTTATAATAAAGAATACACATGAAAAATAGGAAATGTTGTACTTACCTGGGTCTTCTTTTTTGTTTTGCTGTCAATTGTCAATGAAACATAACTCTACATTTTATACTAATGGTACTACTATACTAAATAGTTTTTTTATTTAATTAAATAATGCATCTAAGGATATAGAATAACAACACATAAAAAAAGCAAACAATGTTCTATAACTATCATAATTTTTCTGGCTTTCTAACAATACGATAAGAGCCATTAAAAATTCAGCTAAGCTCATTAATGTTTTCTCGTGGGAATAAAGTTTGAACTAAAAGCAAAATAGATAATTCTCTGTACAGAAACTATATAATATAATACATCATTTGATAAATTTAAACTTTGGCTTTCTATAGGTTACAAATAATATAGAGAACTATTGGCAATTTGTGAAAGAGGATGTGATGGGTGAGGGTGGTAATTCTCATATTAGGGGAGATTGTTGTTTTTAATATTTCCTTATGAAATTAAGAACTTAAAACTTGTATAATATTAAAACTTGATTTATTAACTACATTTTGATGCCAAGTTTATTTGTATATTATGATAAAAGAGTAGTTTACTTAACTTTTGAATATAACTCAAAAAGCTGCAACATTCGCACTTTCATCTGCCCATGGCGAGAGGGTTAATGTGGTTTTTACAACTGTTTACTGTGTATGAATAAATGTATGTGCATGCAACATTCATAGATTAATAGCCATTAGGAGACATAAGCACAATAAAAAAACAGTTGTAATGATACGCTTTCTCTTTGCTGGCCACAAGCCTAGCCAGACTCTACCATACTGTACCACCATGTATGGGCATAAACAATAAACATTATTAATGCAAAAAGTAAATATTCAACATGCTAGAAATATCCAAAGAGATAAACACAATAAATATAGTGTTACTTGGCACTTCTTAACAGCAGAAGTCACATTTAAGGCATGATTTAATAATGAAGTATTTTATCTGTTTCTGTTGAATATTTCTTCCTTGTCTATCTCTTATTTTCTTTTACCTCTGCATATAAATATTGCCAGTTGTATATGCAGATATATTTCAGTCTATATGATGACTGCAGATCACACTTGTGGTTCTCATGAAAATCAAAACTAAGTTTTCCCCATGGTATAATACTTGTGGTTGTGATCAAACTGCTCTCATGAAATATATAATATATATACATGATGGAATTCAATTTGATAGCTCAAACTCCCTTTCAACTGTTGCTCTTATAATCATGCCAACTGCAGATCACACAACTCCCCTAACTGCTGATCCAGCCATTGCCTTCTGGATACTCCAGCTGAAAGCTCATAAGTACCTAAATTTTCTGGAACTCTACCAAGTTGATGCAGCAAGAATAAATGTGCCACATTTCCTAAAGATTCCCTGATTTGCAATAAGCTGTAAACAGCTTTGGAATCAACAACTACTCTTCCCAACAGCTCTGGCTATGTACTATGCACACATTCTACTTTGTGACTTTTGTACATTTGGTATGTTCATGTATTGTTCTTCTGTTCATCATATGGTGGCACAGCTGGTCAAAGGACTGGTGCTCACATAATAACTGCATTCTCTTGCTATTCATCTCTTCTATCAACTTAACTGGAACGCCATGGTTTCATCACTAGTGCAGGCAATGTTGCAAATAACAGCCTTTACAAATGGCAGTGGTATCAAGATATAAGCAGGCAGTCAGCTTATCATGCTCTGGAAGGTCCAACGCACCCAACGTGCAACAGAAATGAAGTTATATTTCTTGCAGGTTTTCATAAATACTTTTCCATGGCCAAAATTTGAGAGCTAAAGGATTATGAATGAGCAAACCTGCAAAGTTCACCTGTCACTTACTATCTTATTTCAAAACAGGCAAAACCCTGGTCACAGGCACCAAACTTCTAACTATTTTTACACTGTGGTATTCATGGTTCACAGAATTAATTGGCAACAGTAAACCACCCTCTTACAACAAAAGATTCAAATATTTAGTATAAGAATAAATGTAGAGGACACAAACAAATATAACAAACACCACTGATTACTATTCACATTCTACAAACACCCCACATCTTTCAGATTGAAATGACAATAATTAAATAAATCTGACAAACAGAATACAAATAAAACTAAAATTTAAATATTACAGTGTGCAGTCAACACTTACAATAAAGGATCTACTGAAAAGTACACCACTTTAGAGCAGGCCCTTTCAAAGCAAGCAGAAACTAATCTCACTCTGAGAGCACCAAAACTGCTCTCATAAGCCACATTCTCTTTATAACAATTCATTGACATATTTAGATCATTTGTATAAAGAGGTATTTCTGCTCCATGATAAGAGTCATAATCATAAGGCAGTCCCACATATACATGGTAATTTAAGACAAAATACAATTACAGGTTCCACACACAGTCATTATGATAAAATTCAAAGACTTCTTAAGGACTTCCAAGGCTTCAATTGCTATTTTCAAGGACCCTCAATAACAGATATTCATGACATTTTTGACAAAAAATAGTTTTCCCACAACTCACAGGATCCAATGTACTCCATTCTGATGGTTTCTTGTAGAAGAATTGAAAAAGGAATTGGACAATAGCTTCAAATAACAGCTGTCTTTTTCTGAAGAAACTCAACATACAAAAGCCTTCATATTCATGTAGTGCTTTTAAATGAAATCTCAGAATACTTTCACTCATGTTGCCCAGATCAATTATTCTGTTGTGAATGGCATAACATGCTTCATACAGACATCCTTTGTATTCTCTGACCAAACTGTTTTAAATTCATCACAATCTAACCATTTTTTATTGAATACACACTTTCCCATGATGAATAGGACAATCCAGCATTCAATTCATAACAAAAGGCTTATATCAAACAATAAAGAATATATATATATATGTATATATAAACATTTATCATTATTTTCTGTTACTCACTGTTCACTTCACACTCAACATTTGCTGTGACACACCAACACTAGAAATACCATTTAAGCAAGATGGTTGTAGGTGCCACGAAAATATTACAAATAAAGATCAAACTACTGAGAAACCATGAGAGAGCTGAATGGAGTGCCGTTCAGGCAAAGACAACTAATAAAAATAAACAACTAACTGACTAACTGAATTAACCAAAATTCTGAATGGCCCAATACAAAAATAAGGACATGGTATGATAGACATTTTATAGAATATTGTGATTTAAGGATTTTTTAAGTGATTTTTGGACATCAAGTGACTTCTCAAAACAATCATTTAAAAGTCCTGTGTAAACTCTGTATTATTCCAAGAAGCAGTAGATACATTTTTTTTGACTAAATCCTGCTACAGAAAGTAACATCTAGGGTTGAATTAGCATACGACTTTGACCAAGTTTACTGTGTTCCAAGTTAAAAGATTTTAGGAAACATTACGTTTTGAGATACAAAATATAAACTACAGAAAAGTGAAATATGTGGTATTCTCACCACTAGACACAATTCTGATATTGTAATGTTCAACAAAAGTATTCTAAACCTTTAAACGATAATTTAAATATTATGTTAAAGAAAACTATTTTTTCACACATACACACTTTGCAAGTGATAGACAACAGAAACTACTAACCTGTATAACACTTAAAGTTTCTGTCTGTTGCATTTTGCTTAATACAGCTCTTAACAACAGTTCTGTTCTTTCAGCAAGAGAAGTCCCTGCTTTGGCTATCAATGATGACACCAGACGGCCAACAAATGCTGCTGAGGACTCGGGTGTCTTGGGGTCAAGGAGATGTTGTGCTACCTATTTTTGTAGGAAACAAACAGAAACTTGTTTTATATGTCTTATTTGTATCAATATTGTAATAATAATGAAGCTGAACTAATTTTTGTGATTCAATATTTCTACACAAAAAATCTCAACTTTATATAATTTAGCACTGTCCAATCTACTTTCATAATATTTCATTCTATAAATTTTTACTTAAAAAAAAAATTATATATATAATAAATTACACAAAAAATTATACAACTAAAAAATTAATGAGCAAAAACTAAAGACAAGTGAAATCTTGACTGATATTTCATCCTCCACAAACTTCTACTGTGTTTTTACATGTTTCGTCCACACATCTTTGGCTTACCTCTGCCAAACTTCAGTATTTAACAGCAGGAACAGTCTACTGCACATTAATCGGTGACTGAATTTTTGAACATTATGTTTCACAAAAATACATTTCTATTCTCAGTATTTTTTCTGGCTATTGTATTTAGCATCAAAAGATCAAAAATCGAACACACAACAAAATAATTATCCTAAAAATTGTGTGTGTGAAAACAGGAAGAAAAACGAAAATAATTATAATATACTTGGAAGCAGAATACGAGTTAAATAACTGCTAAACTAAAAGTTGAACTAATTATTGGTGGAAAGCTTGCAAGTTTAAGAAATAATGGCCAAACTTAATAATAAAAAATATTTTCAATGCTGAGAATATGTATTAAAAACTTTTAAGAAAGAAACAGAATTTGACTGCCCACTCCCCCAAAAAACGTCATGGAATTAGAAGATAAAAATTATTCTTTACTTGGTACATAATAAAAGAACTGAAAATTATCTTAGGTGGGTTATTAACGTTTTAAATATTCTGAACACAACATTATAATGTTAGTGAAAAAAAGAAAACTCAGATAAATTAATTATAAACAACAGAGATAAAAAATATTTAAATATTGAATGTGATTAAAAATTCCAGACTAAAATGTAGTGGTGGCATGATTTAACAGTAGATCAATGAGATGAATTACAATTTTTTTGGTAATAGCTATTGCAATAGTAACAGTGACTATCAACAATTTATGATAGTATTAAAGAATATCAATTAGCCAAAACTGCAATTAAAATTTCACCAAATAGTAAAATAAATAATAAATACATGGTGAAATATAAAATATACAAAAATATCAATTTAAATTTGTGCTGTGAATGCAATGTAAATATGACAGACACAACCTTAAAAAAACACGAGTATACCACTACAAACATACACCTAACTTTATTCTTTGCGGAACCCAACTTGATAGAAATTTGTGAAAATATCTAGCAAGTGCAAATGAGATGTTTGGTAAATTTGAGTTCCTTAATGCAGACAATATAAGAGGTTGTATACAAACTACACAAAGCTAGATTTAAATATCAAAAACATACCACATCACATCAAACAGCACCATTCTTTTGATGCTACAAGTACAATTGCTAATTAAAGTTTTGAAAGCAAAAGTAGAGCTTATCAGAGTAATAGGCAGCTTAGTGATACCAAACCACTACTTTCTTCTCAGCTATTAATATCACAAACTTCTAAACAGAACTTTCATTGTTCATCCCAGTGTACCATACAATAATACATTATTTCATCACTTTTATGAAGAGCAAGCTTCCCTATTCAACTGATAATAAAAAAAGTTTAGAGAAATGGTGAGCCTAAATACAAAAACCCAGGGTAGGCATTATTTCATAATTTTTCAACAGGGCTGTATATGTATCTAGTCATTTATTTAATACTCACATTAAAATAATCTAAAGTTACATTTTCTTAGACATTTAGCAAATCCATTCACAACTTGTCATATGTCATAACAACAGATTAGTTTTTATTTTATTAAATATTATCATCAAGAATTATTAAATTATTGATGGAATTTCTCTTGGGCTAACATTAAAGTGAGTTGACTCAGTGCACTGTTATCATCGATAAAGCCTTGCTGTCTTGGAAGGCTCCTGAATAACATTTAATACCATTGGATCACAGTGAGATGCTACCTGCTTCACCTGATGTTGTGATGAAGTATACCAAACTCTGTCCAGCAGATACACCTTGACACTCTCCTCAGCTGACATAAACTAGAGCCTGGACACATCAATGACCATTTTGCTGGTCCACCATTAAGACCATCCTATAAAGTCTCAGAATGTTCAGGCTGCTCACAGCCACGATGACTCCTCTTTACACGCCACGAACAACCCAGCGAGACACCCACCAACTTCACTGTCCAAAGAATAAATTGAAAACTTAGACATATCTCTCACCATTTCTGTCACTCCAAATATAAGGGAGTGCCTCTCCTAGTATTTGACACATTCTCCTATCTAGTCCTCTCTTCATCCATGACTTCCTGTACATGCAAGTTCTACATGGTTTTAGAAAGTGCTTTCCTTGATCACAACTAGCAAAGATTATATGTAAACAGAGGATCAAGCAGAAGAAAATGAGTATTTAAAACAAACTCCAGAATAACAAATCCTTTAGGCAGCAAAATTTTAAATTTTTAATAACCAGATGAATTCAAAAGTACCCACAAAATGCAGATTCTAGAAATACCATGCAGAGAACTAATTGAACATGGACAACAAAGAAAAGAAACAAATACAAGTGAACATTTTTATTCGACATTCCGTGTTTTACAAAATTTTCCAACACAAAAAAGATTTAAACACACAGCAGAGGTTAAGTACGTCATATAAAAACGAATGTGGAGCCTCAGATCTTTCAGAAAATGTCACCACATCCAGTCATGCTCTATCTGAAGACCATGTACCTTGACAATAACACAGTTTTCATTGCAAAAGGCTCCTTCGCCAAGCTGTCATTGTCTAATTCCTCCTTACCTGCTTTCCATAAGCCACTTAGTGAAGGAAAACAATGGTTTCCCAGTTCTTGTTTCAACAGTCCAATCATATAGAAATTCATAAATGATACATCCAGAGATTTGATCAGTATGTCTTCACGTTGAATAGCATGATTACTTATTTCATTCTCCACCTGCTTGAGGTATGCGACCAATGAATGGACCTGTTGTTGAAGCAATTTGTGCTAATTTATTGAAGATCCTTCTTGATTATGTGGGAGAACATGGACAGCTTTTGTCATTGACTTTCAGATTCATGAATTCCCACTTGTGGCTAAAAAATGCAATTTACATATTACAGCTGGGGTACAATTTGTTGCAAGTCTCCTTCTGAATGGTCCTGATACCTTAAGTTGATCCATATTCCTTTGTTTTCCAATGCCGTTAAGTAGAAGTGATATCACTGCCTTTGAAATCATAAATCCCTGACTTGAACACCTTTATGACCCGAGTGTATGAATATTTTATGTTGGAAAGGGCTGTTACACACCATTCTTAAAAGTGACAACTAGTTGGTGACATCACACTACCTACGAAATGTCATAATGTAGTTCTGTTACGTGTCGTTCTGCAATGACTTTCTATTAGCTGTGATTGTCTCATGACTTGGTTATTAACATATTCAAATTCATTTTAATGTAATGCACTCTCCTATATTGAAAAGTATTATAAAAAGTAAACCAAAAATGAGAATGAGGCAAATAAAGGCTGATGTTCATGGAAATAAGAATAAATATCTCCCACTAAAAGATTATCATAGTTAACTGTCTACATAACAAAATTTATTATTATTATTGGAACATTCTTATTTTTAAGATCCTACTGAAGTACAAGAGCAAATTATTTCTAACATTAACATAACTAACTCTTTCAGCATGGGCTCAGTCCCTGGGACCGACCTTGTAACCATTTTGCACATGTTATAGTTTTCACGCTATTACCTTTAAATTAGTAAGCAAATAATTAACAAAATTTGGCAGATTATCAGTAAACATTAAAATGCTTTCATAATAAAAAATATCTAATTTTTTTATTAAGTCTTAAAGTTTATAAAGCAATGTTTTTTCATGTCTTTTTTTC